CTCCAAAATTTCAGCACAAGAAATTCGCCATCAGTTTTTCCTTATTTGGTCAAACTTAACGATAATGGCTCATATCATGGGCTTAGGGAACCAATCAGAAAGCTGGAAAATCATTATCCTGAGCTAAAAATTTACTAACAACGGATATGAACTGTAAGCTAATTTAAACCCGCTGGCAGGAGAATAAAGTAAATTTGAACTCATTAGATCCATCCTTCAGCATGAGAGATATGACAGTGAAATGTTTGAGAGCGTTACGACATACAAACATTCCCCAGTTGTTTTTGATATTATTGTTTTAATAGTTCTGTTCTGTATCACTAAAGGCCATAACTAGAACTCAAGAGATGATGGCAGAGTAATAAAAACATGATTAGTGGAAATGTGTTGTCGTAAATCCTAATGGGTAATTAAGGGGTCGGAGAGGGTGGGGCTTTATGGGGAAAGGGGTCGCTCCTATGCAAAAGTACAAGCACTTTTGTTTTATTCCACTACTTCATTGAGCTTCGAAAAGAAAAAGAGAAATTGGCAAATGCTATTTCATTGCTAACTTAATCTTTCCACTTTTAAATTATTTAAAAAGTGATGTCAAACTATATTTCCTTAGTTAGCGGTTGCAATTTTGATCTACAGATGTAAATCAAAGCCCCGTTTATGATATAAATTTTCTGCAAAATGAAGTATAGCATAGTTAAGTAAATTATACTCGAACTGCCTTCTGTTGCTGAAAACGCTTATAAAAATCAGCCCTGATTATTTAGATCTACAAGCATTATCCTTTCCCAACTATTCTCTAATTTAGTCTTGTCCCAAGCAAAATTTTCTAGAGTCCATGGCATCATTTTTGAGCTCATTTTCCAGAAAGTAGACATACGGATAAAATAATTATTCCTTCTGGGCGTTTAAAATAGGCTACATGTTCCTTGTATATAAAAAAAGAGATCTGGCAGTATTGACTGTTTATATTTAGCTAAAACACCTATCTCAAAGCAGATGAAAAATTCCCAAACAATTTCCAACATATAATTTCTTCTTGGGAAGCACCTTAAGAAACATCCCTGTATTAAAACCTTGCTAGCTAGTACCATAAGCAACTGAGGACAGTTAAGTGAATGCAACTGATGGCACTTTAAGGCATAGTGGGTTGATATAGAACAGTATTATTAGCTATTAACCCTTAAACCCTTGTGATCAAAATTTAACTTCTCTTTTCCGCCCATATCCATTTTCTATAGAAGTAGCGTAGAGAATTTTTACAAATACCAAATAGCAATTTTCTTTGATTGTGTCCTTCATTCCTGGAGCACTGTTTCAAAAGCTGCCAAATCACGAATAAATTTATTACTGATCCCTCTAAGGGGTTTAAAAGGGCTAAAAATTATTTTGTTCTATACCTTCATAAATATTTTTTACCCGAAAAATAATTATCTGTAATTAAAAGTAAAAAACTTTTGTAATAGATGCTATAGTTAGCGAATGCTGCCAGATGTCATTCATCAAAGCATCCAGCCATTGAGCCAAGAGACGTATAGAGCCTGGTTGAGTGCATGCTATGATGGCTCCATCATTTCCATGACTATGAGAATCTGCAATCATAGCAGCGCTATCAGAGTTCACTGCTAAAAGCATGGCACGCTGATGTGTCATTATCACACTGCAAGATTTTGATTTGTGATTCTGAGCCTCTTGAATTAAGAAATTAGCCAACTGATGAACTGGATTCAGACCCAATATGTCAATTTGCTGACCCAGACTCTGCACCCCACACTGGTTATCTGCCAGAGAAACTGCATCCTTCACCGCCAGATCAACTGCTTGATGATCAAATAGATCATCATGAATTTTGTTGCCTTTGATCATTGCTTCATATAATGATTGTTTCCATGGCTCAGGAAGAAGGACATCTCTTGGCCAAAGCAAACTTCCATTCATCCACATCTTCCTCATGATCAATGCTATAAAGGCACAAGCATTTCTGCCTGTTCTTCCTTGAATACTTGATTGTGATTCAGCAAAAGTCCACTCCACAACACCTGCTACATATGAAGAGGAATTTCCTTTAATCATGCCTGCTGTTAGTATTCCAAGTGGTGGTGGACTTGAAGCGGATGGTGGGGGATTTGTTGCACAAGTAGCTAAAGCAGGAATGTTTGTTGCTGTTGGGATCACATTGGAACCTGTTGGACAATCTGATGCTTCCCTTGCCCTTTCTTCTTGTAAATTCTCTTGTCGAACTATGCCTGGACAGTTGCTAGTTCCACCTGTCTCTTCGCCTTTTAAGCAAACAAACAAGTACCATTATAAACAAATAAGACCATCAGTTAAGCAATACACCGGAACAAACTTTTCGCATGCTCTCCTAACATTCTGTGTAGGTTATTGTACCGGTAAACCTACATAAAATGAGGTTTGCTGCTTTCATTTAATAAATTTCTGTTTCAAGGAGTTTACTGGTATAACAAAATGATAGCCTTCTGACCAATCAGAGCAGACATACCATCCCTGTTATTGCATAAAAACAAATAAACAAATAAAACTGTTCTTAGAAAACAGGAATTCATTTTTATATGTGATAAATAGTACCTTGCCTTGACCTTAGATGTCTTGCTTCCTCCATCAAGTCTTCTGCTATTTGCTTTTGTTTGCAGTGATATGTACTCCACCAGCTTTTTATTTGTGATTCCTTTAAGGGAGGAACTCCAGCCGCCTTCATAGCTTCAATGACATCAGCAGGATTTGCTCTGATTTGCAATGTCCTCTAGTTCTCATAAAAAGCAGCCATAATGTTTTTCTGCTCTTTTGTGAAGGTGACTTTTTTTAGATCCACCCTTTTTAGGGCAAATTCAGGTGATGGCCTGTCATCAGCATTAACTATCATACTGCTGTTCATTGGTGTCAGGTTAACATTATTGGCATTACATAAATGCATGGGTGTATTTTAAAAAACACAGTTGGTTCAGCGTATAACATATTAGTCATACGTCAGTGACTTGGGTGCAAGTCTCGCCTTGTACCTGTTCTGCGTATCCATTCTTCTTGACACCAAAACGTTGTTAACAACCCACCTTATATCTGATAGGACGCCAAATAGTCGATATCTCAAACGGCTCGTAAATATCATAGGTTGATTTAAAATAATGCATTTATTTGAAACAAATCTCGATTTTATAGGACGAAAATGCTTGTAACTGTTCTTTTTCAAAATACTCTCTGTCAACAATGATTCAATCCGTATCAGCTCAAACATATTAGTTACCTATAGCAATTGGGCAGGCAACGTTCCGTAAAAATATGTAACTCTGTCCAAAAATGTTCTAGCTTTAAATATTCTAATCTTAACATGGCTTAACTTTAACTACTACTTTTCGGAAAATTTGAAATATTTTTCAATCTTTAAACGCATTAAACTGTTTAAAAAATCGACGAAATGTCGGAGGTCCTTTTTCTCAGGTGCTTTTACCTCTGCTCTTCCACTTGTATCAATGGGCTCATATCACAGCAACACGAGTTACAGAATATGTTGTTTATATGTTTCAAAGTTTGGCCCATGCTGAAACCGCTGAGCAAAATAACTTGCATCGAAGAAAGTAGTTTTCGTTTTCGAGAGATGGTAAAACGAACAGGTTACCACACTCGTCTTTATATTGTTTTCTATTTTTTAACAGATTGAAAAAATATTTCATGATTGCCAATTGCGGTGGGCGGGTGATTAGGCAGAAGTAGTTGGTTTACCTAAAAACGAAGAGTGAATGGCAATTTTAGGGACTTTAATAACAACATGGCTTCTAAAGAGTAACATCTTGCCCCCAAATAGTTTAAATAAGAACGTATGAGCTCCCTGAAAGGTAAATTTAATACCACTGTAGCCCAAGCATATGAAATTCCTGCAGTAATTTTGGTCTATTTTGCATGTCTGTGAACTTGTATTGCATGCGCCAGATTGTCGATGTCTCGTGTCAATCCATCTAAAAGTCTCAATTTTACATAGATTTCCTATTCTGATATAATAGCTTAAAGTGCTACTTAAGCCAAAAATAATCTAGTGAAAAATAGCAATAAATTATTAGTTCAATATCTAATTGAAAAGGAAAATAAGTTTTGACCCTAGGAAAACGTTGTTTTCGGCCTTTTTTTCCAACACAAACATGGCCAAATTGTGGCACAAAGGGCGACAAGCAGAGCCTTAATTAAATATGCATATGACGTGACATGGTTGACTCATCGAGTGTAGCCAATTCACATTTCCAGTCAGATCACTGTGATGGCGAAGCATGAAAGTGGAGGCAAGACTTGTACGGCTGGTGCTCCGGGTCAAATAAGTTGTACAAACAACTCTTGTAGTCCCGGCATTTCGATGCACATATTCCCCAAAAACGAGAAAGTTAGGGCTCAATGGGTTAAGTTTGTGCGAACTCACAGTCCGGATTGGGAGCCCACCGAATACAGTTATCTGTGTTCATTGCACGTTAAAGAGAGTTGTTTCACCCGCCTGAGGTTAAGCACCCTAATGCCTGCCAAAACAAGCGAGGAAAACGGCGAGAGCTCCGGACCAAGCTACAAGGGGTTTCAGGAAAAAGGTATGTTAGTCACAGGAAAAGCGCCAGAGAGGAAAGAACCAAGCCATCGCGATCGAAGGAGATCGAATGCGGTAAGTGTCCAATCCAGTCATTGTTTTCAATTTTCACAACAAGCCTGTTATGTTTGTCTTTGGTAGTTTCAGTGGTAGTTTTTGAGAAAAACAAAGATAAAAAATAACGAAATATTTGATCAACTGAAGTGTATTTTTATCGAAATCATCGGGGAAATTCTCAACAACTCCGCCGGACTGAGGTGCTAAAAAATTAAGAGTAAGACGAAACAAAAGGCCTTTTAGTGATCACTCGAACATTCTTTGCAATTCCTAGCATTTGGAAGTGCTTTTATAAAGAGTAATATCTCCACTAAACTTGCTCCTTTATTATAAACAATTGCAGCATTTGCGGGAAATCAAGCGGGAAACCGAGTGTGAAGTGGAGCATAAAGTGGAGCGCCAGGGGGCAGCAACTACAGTGCAATCATGCGAGGACCGTGAAGACAAAGAGGGAGAATTCAGCTACGATGGTAACTTGTGGGACTTGTCCAACCAAGACGACGCGCTTTCTTTTAGTCTTGACACCGAGGGGAGCATGGCCTGCAATAGAGCTACCCAGGCAAAGCCTAAAATGAGATCCAGACAGTCACAGACTACACTTGGAGAGTGCCGAAAGTGCGCTGAGTGGAAAATGCAAATAAGAGTCCTGCAGAAGCGAAAAGGGAAATTACGCTCTCAGAAGAAAAAATGGAAAGAACAGGCCACACTAATAAATGTAAGTGCTATTTTTTATTTCTTATTCCTGGTATGCAAGATAGAAAGTAATTCTGAAATACCCCTCCCCAACCACCAAGTCATCCTCTCATGCAAAACTGTTGTACCATGTAGGGGTTTTTTATTTTTTACTCAAAAGGTTTTTTTTTTAGTAACAGTTTTCTTTATCACAATTATGTGATAGTATGACTCAAGCAGCAACAAAAGAGAATTAGAAGAGGAAGGAGAGGAAGAAGAGGACATGGAGGAGGTAGAGACAGAAGTGGAAAATATGGAATGTTTGGAAGACCCTGGACTGGAGGATACAGAGAATTTAATAGATGAAAAGGAAGACGATCCAGACTGGCATTGTCAGATGGAGGATAAGGGAGATGATGATATTGATGCCGATGATGAAGAGACGGAAAGTACACCAATGAACAATATCAGGCAAGATGTTATGATTTTGATTGGTCATTACGTACTCATCCTTCCTTTTTCGTGCTCAAGAAGCTATAGCTTGTTTCATAATTCCATATCCCTTGATCTTACATTTAACAACTATTATTAGTGCCTAATTTATTGCAGTATTTGTATTTTTATAACATCTAAAATTAAATTCTGCAAAATACTGGTCAATAATTTCAGGGCTGTTGCTAAGGAAAAGTCACCCTCCTGTAGGTCAACTCACATGATACTTTTTTGGGTGGAAATGTACAGAGAGGACTGCCGAGAGGCTAAAGTTGGCCTAATTAGTTAATCAATCCTTTTTTGTTTAAATGGCTCAATTTGCAAACTGTTTCAAATTATTTGAAATTAAAAATGCCAAGTGCTAATCCCTATAACCAGTAAATTCTTCAGTCTCCTTTGCAGCTGGCATGTGTTTTTTGCTAAACTCTCCTGAGCATTGCATGATTAAGATTGTACATTTTGAGCTGGTTCAGGTATATTTTCATCTATATCTACAAATATAGATACGAAAAACAACCAACCTGTTTTCCCGGCCCCTATAAAAATAAAAATCTGGCATTTCTTGACACCTAGATCTATGTGTGACGGACCACATAAGACTCGTTAATAGCCTGATTAAAACTTTTGCTGAATGGGAAAATCTGCCACTACACAAAAATTGTAGGAAATATTATCTTTGAGTGATAAATGTATATTTTTTTTTCAGACAGGCACCGTTCAATTGCCAAATGGATTAGGGAGCATGAGCCAGCAACCAGACACTTTTTTGATATCTGGCATGTTGCCAAATTAGTAACAAAGAAGTTACTTCAAGTTGGAAAAGAAAGTGGCTGTGAACTCCTTGTGAAGTGGCAAAAGGCCATAAAGAATCATTTGCATTGGTGTGCTACTTCCACCAAGCTTGGATTTGGTGAGCTGATTTTAGCAAAGTGGAAGTCTACTATTAGGCATGTTTGTAATAAACATACTCAACACCCAGAACCTCTGTTTAAACAGTGTGTCCATGGACCTCTATCAAGAAGATATTGGCTAAAAAAGGTGAGTTTTTGTTGGAACACATTTTCAAGCAGTTCCAACCACCAGTTAATTTAACTCTTTAAAGCTGGTAATATGTATCACCTGTTTCAGTTCAGTTTATTTCAACAGGGTAGTTTATAAATGTGTTTTAAAGGTGTTTTAGTTTGAAGATGCTCCCTACCCCTCTTAGAGTCCAAGTCTAGGTCTTGAATTGCTTTTTTCATCCTTGGCTTTAGAGGATTCTTTTTATGTTTAGACTTGTCAGAAGCAACCTTTTTTGTCTTAAAGAAAGAGAAACTAATGTATTGGTTAATGTATTTCAGGCACAAATGTCTATAACAAGATGAAACAAATTTTGATGAATACAAGGCTCCTTAATGATATAAAAAAAGTTGTCTAGTGAGGATCAAACAAGTTGCTTGGAGGGTTTTCACTCTACGTTGAATCAGTTCCATCCAAAGATGATGTTTCTGTTGGCTTGGCACATACTGCAGGTAGGGTGTGTAAATTGTTATATTGGACGTCAGAGGTGGATGTCGTCTACCAACACTACAGAATTTTTACAAGAGGAATCTTTTCTAACCATACCCCCTTAATAATTGCTCCAAACATTTCATTTTCATTTTTTCAGAGTCCCTCCTACATAAAGTAAGTATGGTTATTTTTCAGAACTTTCAGTGTAGCCACAGTGGTGGTTCCCAACCATGATTTATGGAAGATGAATGGCTCCTAAAGAATCCTACCAATAGTTCAAGGGAAATAAAGGCAGGGGTGGGTGTGTGGCTGTTACACAGAAAAACCTAGCAGAAAAATTACGGGGAAATGGTGGACGACTGAAATCCAGTTTAGCACTTCTGTAGGCATTAAGAGCGGATGTCAGTAAATATCGACCAGAGGTCTACAAAAGTGAAAAATCGAAAATCCTCAAAAAAATTCACAAAGTAGCACTAGGTAAGCTATTAACATAAATGTAATTTTTACTTCGATCCGATAATTATTTTCCACGTACGGGGGGGGGTTATTGGTTTCGTGGCTCTCAGACCGGGTTTTCCAGGCCCGAGACCATGTGTCGCAAAAAAATTGTTTTAAAATTCAAATCCATTGTAATGCGGAGATCAAATAACTTATTCAGAAGAGTACTTAATTGCACACATTTTAAGTGCTGATTTACTCAGTTTGACCGAAAGTGTAATATTTTGGAGATTTTTTATTATTTTCAATATTTTGAACGTTTTCATTCAATGAAAAAATGGCCATTTCAAAGCCCAAAATCGTCGACTGGTACCTCGATTTCAGTAACGAGTCTTATACCACGTTAAAGAGCGTTATCTCTTCTTTCAAAATCTGTTTTCAAAACTACGGGCAACTTAAAAGAAAATGTTTGAAGCCAAAAAATACTAGTAGTACTTTTCTGAAATTTGAGCTTTCCAGACTCAGCGGGTCGATGCTAAAAACTCAGAAAAATGCAATAAGAAATCAGTTTGAGCAACAGTGATTTAATGTTATCAGCTATCAGAAACCAACACGTGTTTATCGAGCGATCTGATAAAATTTAAAGCCATTTTCCAACAAGAAAAGCAGAGTTTAGCCATCTTCTGCTACCAAATGCACGAGTGACGTAAGGTTGTCAAAGGGCAAAGCACAATAATAAACTTCAAAAAGCACAACGTTTCTGCGTCCAGGAATTAGACTTTAGCGGACAGAACAATGCCTATGAGTGTATGTTTCATACCTTAGCAGGGGTTTCCTAGATACTGGAAATAAAAAACATCAAGGACAGCATAGGCAACAGCATCTTCGGCTGCTCTCAAACGACGGAGATTGCGTTACTTTCCACAGATTGACCGCTTACCACCTGTTTTTGGGCTCGCATTTCGACGGAACGCTTGCCTCGAGAGGCGCGCGGCACGGATCTGAACTCTTCTTCATGAGACATTGAACTGAATTTATCGGAAATATGCCACCACCACCAACAACATGAGCTTTTTTCGGGTATTTGTCGTTTTTTATGC